GGGGGGGGGGGGAGAAAAAACTGCACCCGCCAGAAAATCTTGTCACACACGCACACAAGCGCGCGCGCGCACGCGTTAAGCACACAAAATGTATTTATCTGTATAACATATGTATACTATCAATGACCTGCCGCACGAATTGCAAGCAAATAGCTGGACCAATGATAATCCTCGTAAAATAAATAAACAAGCTCTCTGTGCGCTCTCCAGCACGGAGAGAAAAATGAAAATAACACTTTCCTCGTCAACAATTTTCTCCATGGACTGTACATGCCTTTTTCGACAAAGCACTATGAAAACATTTCTTTTTTTTTCACCCCTTGCCCTCCCGCTCGTCGTCGTCGTTGCTACCACCACTACTGCCGCCGCCATCGTCGTCGTCGTCGTCGTCGTCGTCGTCGTCGTCGTCGTCGTCGTAGTTGTGATTTTATTTCGCGAGATGATCTTAAAAGCATATATTGAAATTGGATTTGTACGCGTGCCCAATTCAACACGATATGCGAAATGCAACTATATTATTCCAACCGCAATAACAATGTAACCGTTTATCGATTCGCTTCTTCGACATATGACAGATAATAATGCTTCTGCTGCCTCTCTATTATCTTCCGTTTCTCAGCTTTTTTTTTTTTACTTTTTTTATATCGCGCAGAAATTTATCACGACACGATGTGACATTATTATTCCATAAATGCTGATTTCGTGGTAAAGGAAATAGGGAGTCGAAAAAAAAACAATGCAATTTCTCATTAAATAGTCGTTAAGACAATGCGAGTTGAGGTGGCTGCGTTAAATCGGGTTAAGGCACATCTATAAATACCTCACTAACTGAGAACGAGAGGGAATGAGAGGGAGAACGGCATGAAGTAGAGTCAGTGCGTGAGAGATAAAGAAAGAGAAGTACGAAGTATCTAGATAGAGGAAGATCGCGAGACAAACGGAGAAAGATACAAAGGGAGAAAGACGAAGTGAGAGAGAAAAAGGGGGAGGGGGGGAGAGCACTGAGAGAGCAACAGAGAGAGGAAATAAAAGGCAGAATCGGCAGAGGGGGAAGACGCGCGAGATAAGGATGGAATCATAAACTTGACAGAGAGGATCGAAAATAAAACGGAGATGAACGGATAGACGATGATGGCTTAAAGGAGAGAGAGAGAGAGAGAGAGAGAGAGAGAGAGAGAGACAGAAGGGGGGGGGGGGGGGAACGCAAGAAGTAACCAGTCTATCTAATAGTATAGTACACATCGAAGATACATACAATAGTATTCGTTGCCAGATGTCTAACTACACGATCATCCCCACTATCGGCTATCCCTTCCCCACCACTCGTCACCACGCTGTCACTTCTGCATTACGGTCGAGCGAGTATTTGCCGAGGTAAATCTGATGGTTATGTGGGAGGGGAAATGGGGGAGCGCGGGGGAGGGAGAGGGGAGGGGAG